ATCAAAAGAACATAAAGCAAACATATATATAGATCAAAAATAATATAATTTAATGTTTTTAATATAGAACACGAAACTATCTTCTAAAACATATTCTTTTCATAGTACCATTTAGTGTTTAATTATTCATTTGAGTCTTTCGATTTTTTTCAACATTAAACTAGATTTAATATTCGTTTTTATTTTTGAATGATTATGTGGTCTGATAAATAATGAAGAAACGAAATGTGTAGGAATGTAAGAACGTGAGAATTTGAAGAATGAGAGATCGTAGTAGCAAAAGAGATAAAAAAATGAATACATGAATATATTGCTACCGGATTGATGATTAAAAAATACCCTGATCAATGATTCCTGAAGCAGTATTCCATGAATTTCCGGTGAAAACCTTCAGGAAACTCACCGTTTTCGGTAGGAACCCTGCTGGAAAATGCCAAGAATTCCACTCTGGAGTCGGTTCCGGATGGAACCGAACGAATCTACTCACCCGATCCGTTCAACGGGAATACTGTTTCCATGAAATCTCTGAAATACCACGGAACCAGCCGTTTGCCTGCCGGATTGTTCGACCTGGGTATACATCGTTCCTGAACATCAGCTTAAACTATCACTCTAAAAAGAACAAGTTAAGATGAAATCTTTACCATTCAAAATTGCTATTCATTTCCTGAATCTTCTTAAGTTCTAAAGTTGTTCTTTGGAATGCAAGATGACTCAGAAGGTGATATACTGCAGTCTATAAGGCTGAACGAATCAGTGTAGCATCTTTTCTTTTTAGATATAATCTATTTTATTTTCAAAAATGGCTGATAATAAACAAAATGAAAGTACAGATGAACTGAACCCATCAGTAATTTTTTTTCATTATTCATTCAGTTTCAATAAATTATAATAAACGTCTTTTAGGCAGCCGAATTAGAGAAAGAAACAATGCTAGTTCGAGTTCAATTGGTCGAACAACAACAACAAGCAAGAACTTGCACAGATCCACAACAGCAAGCAATTTGTGCTACTGCTGTTGTAAGAACAGCCCATGACCTGCTAGACACCGAAAAAGAATGGAAAGATAAACGAGAAGAAGAAGAGTAAGTGTTAAGAATCAAGTTTTTCCCATTTTTTTTCCATTTTTTTTCCATTATTATTCTCTGCAATCATATCATCAAAGGTGTGGATGTGGGTGTGAATGTCTCTTATCGATCTAGTTCCACACCCACACACATACCCTAAAACCTTGATTAACCATTTTTCGAAATTCAATCGGCGATTAAATTAAACTTTACCGCGATGATAATCAAAGAACCGTTTTTAACAAATCATATTAATCGCTGATTTTTGCAATATAACTTCTGATTACTAATTAATTAGTAAACTATTCAGGAAATTGGGAATCAAATGAAGCACCTATACAATCTTTTACCATAATCATATGTATCGAACTTTATTTCTGGTGAAATATGTAAGAGGCTAAAATCGATTAGAAATCAGTTTTTCTTTACATGGACAGTTCTATTTGTCATGTTTATCCAATTGCCATCGATTATATTTTTATTTTTCGAACAAAAGCAGAGATGCAAAACGAGACTTCATTCAAACGAACACTTCCTATAGACCAACTATATATTTTTCTTTAAGTATTTGACTGTTTTTTCATGTAATTATGAAAAAAATTGCTTTCCCTATTGACTTTTTTTATGTAGAATGATGTCATTATTAGATTTTTGAAAATAAAATATAGATTAATTGAACTTGATAACTATCGATTCTTAGGGAAATAGAAAAGGATAGTTTGAAAAGTGTTGAGGTTATCGGAAACAAATATAAGTTTAGTTTTAGCATCGTACCTCCCAACCTTTATATAATTTTCACATCGAGAATATAATCCCCTTTTAGCTATAATAGAAAATATATTGCTCTGAGTATTGTTTATCAAGGAGAACAAGTGTACGATAGAAAAGAACGATTCTCATCTGTAGTTAAAAAATTAATTCGAATCAAAGATATCCATCGTGCTTGAAAACTCGTCGCTGACAGATTGTACAGAATATTAGGTAATTGATCTGCGTTTCGCGACTTTGTTTATCTTTGGATAGAACTTTCCATAGAAATACTTATTACGCATAGAGAAATAAAGAACGTGATTAAAAGTGAGTCCTGACAAAGCAGATTATTTAACAGAGTCAAATAAAAAAAGACATCAAACTAATCATGACTTATTCATTGACGTCAATCATTTATTGACGATGATAGTTGATATCTTATTTTGAGTTAAAACACGTCCGATGATTAATGCAGATTTTGCTCAATTCTCTCCTTTCTCTTTATCACGTTCTTCTTCTTCACTAAAATCAAAGATCTTTCTATAAAATCGAAAAAAAAAGAAAAGGATCATGTCGAATTTCAATCTCATTCTGTCTTTTCGAATTTGGAAAAGAATGAAATTCAATGAAAAATATAAAAACTAAATCATGAGTTTTGCTCATTAATTCTATTTAAACTTCATGTTTTTTATTTTACCTACGATGAAACCTTCTCTAGAAGACTATTTTTCTCTTTGTGTGTTATGTTGGAAGAAATGAATGTGAGAAAAAGAGAGAGAGAAAGAGAGATATATAACTGGAGAGAAAATCTACAACGAGTGTCATTTTGTTTTCATCGAAGACAAAGAAGATTACTTTAGCAGTTGACTGATTTATCAAAATAAAATCTTGTTGAATGATGTTGAATATCTACGTATTTATCATTATTCTTTTGTGCATTCCCAATAATGAAATATCGGGTAAATACTTATATTTATCACATATTGAAGATTACCTATTGCACAAAAATGACATTATTCGTTAGAATTTTAGTTGAACAAAAGGGAGTGAAATAATAGATTATAGAATTTGATAGGAATTTCTATTATATATCCTAAACTGATGGTATTAATCTCTTGTAGTGGTTATGTGAGACTTTTTCGTGGTTTGAAGAATGAGTGTACTTTAAGTTTAAAAGTACGAGTTGGAATACTGATTGAAAGTATTGTAGATATATGAGTTTGTATCGATTCTTAGTTTCAAAACGATTGAAATCTTCTCTCGATATCAAATTTATTTGTTGATTTTGAGATGAGAATGAGACACAAGAGAAAGGAAACAAATCTAATGCATCATATCGCATTATAACATATGGAAAAAAGAGAATTAATTGACTTTTCCAGATGAAACCAAAACTAAAAAAACGAAAAGATGAACAGGTTAATGTAAATGAAAACTAAGTTTTGTGAAAATATTTGACTATTTTCGTTTGAGATAAGATATATTCATTATATAAAAAATACTATGACTATGATAAAGTAATTCTATTTTGTTTGATGTACTCAAAGAGTTTTATGTATAAAAATAGAAGTGATATATCAAGTCAATTGATCATCCATTACTATATATATCATTTACTCTTATAGAAAATAAAAAGAATTTAAAGCTTTTGAACTACACAAGAGGAAAGAATCTTTTTTAGAATATATGAAGTTATTTCGTAAAAATGAATTTGATTGATTAATAAAAATGTTAAATATTCTTCATCGACACTTTCGCGACAGGATTACTTATGAAAAAATATTAAGTTTCAAGCCGTAGAAATGAATACATCTGTTAGGAAGAAAGAAAGAGCATACATCATATGATAATGTAGAACTACTTTGCGAGTGCAAATTCATAATCGACACTATCATTTTTATCACTAGACTATCATAAAAGAATATTGTTGAGTAAGACAACATCTGAATCAAAGTTCAAATACATAGAAGTTTTTCTCATGTTTAAAAGGAATCGATGATTATCGAAGTTTTTCTCAAAAATATTCAATTTGAAATAATGAGAGACAGAAAAAAAAGAAGAGGAAAAGTTTGATTAAATTTAATTATTATTTGACAAAAAAGTTAATGAAAATAAATTTTGTTCAGATCGATTTCAGATTTGTTTGGTTTAATTTGACGAGAATTTAAAAACAAACAAAAATATGTTATAAATAAGAAAAAAAAGAATATTTTCATTTGATTTTTATTTCAAAATATTTTTCTTAGATAATTTCTTCGAATGATTATTTAATTAAGTAAATATTTGCAAGAGAATTTTCTTCTTTCTTTCACATCATAAACTCAATTGAAATGATTTAACATCAATAAATTCACAATGTTTTTTTTCGCATGAAAATGAGAATTATTTTGAATTTCAAAAGCATTTAGTCTAGATCTCAATCAATTTCAATAAAGTCATTTTCATTCTAAACGATTCTTTCTTCCGCTTTCGAATTCATTTTCATTGAATAAATTAAGAGAATGATTTGATTGTTTTTTTTTGTCTTCAATGATAATCAAATCTTTTCAAGGATCGAGCATGATTATTTTTCTTTTACAACAAAAAAATCAATAAATAAAGTTGATCTTCTTCGATGAATTCAGCTCTCTGTAAGTTAATATTTACAGATCATCCTAGAAAATAGAACAACAATCATCGAAACCTTCTCAAAATAAATCTCAATGAATTTTTCCAAGAAAACACATAAATTAAGAATTTCATTTCGTTTACAGTTCTTCTCTATATTCTTTCTATTTTTCTTGTTTTTAGCTCTTTCATTCAATCAACCAAAGTTTTCTCCAACACCCATTTGGGATTCTAATGGAATTACCATTGCTAATCAATCAATTGTAGGTGAAAAGCCTTTCGCCATTTTTGTGAACACAAACAATACAGTCTATGTCGCTAATAGAGAAAATAACACAGTTGTAATTTGGGAAGAAGAGAGTGCCAATCCAACAAAGATTATTCACGGTAGTTTTACAAAACCTTATTCTCTCTTCGTGACATCAAATGGTGATATTTATATTGATGATGG